ACAGATAACAAAATATTTAACCAATAACAACTTGATTTGCGATGGACAATACGGATTCACTAAGAACTCTAATACTAATGCGGCTTTATTTGATGTTATCACCGAAATTCAAGACTCAATTAGCAAGAACTACAAAGTTGGATTGGTATTCTTTGATTTAACTAAGGCGTTTGATTCCGTGGATCGTAAAATACTGTTAAAAATCTTACAATACAAACAAATATATATATTTTTCGTTTTGAGAAAGACCTCCAATTCTTCTTTCTAATTATTAACACCATTAGCATTCCAAGTTACTATACGTACCTCATTTACGTACATCTTTTCTTAACTTCTTTGGTGTTTCCGTATACATCTCAGTGTATGCATTTTCTATTTCTAATAATCTTTTAGAGATCTCGTGAATTCTAATCAACATACTATGCATCATTTGCATAATGTCTGCGTCAGTTCTTTTTATTTGTGGGGTTTTGTTTTTAGGTTCCTTCATTTTCGTGTTTTGTGGAATTTTGCTTTGAAGTGCTTTTGAATAAGATACTCCCTTTAACACCTTACTAGGTGCCGCCATTCTGTCTATTTTTGGAGTTCTTTGTTAATTAAATTTAACTTGGTTTTGTTCGGTTTTATTCTCTTTCAATCTTCTTTTTTGCAATTCTTTTGCAACCAAACAGCCTCGATGGCTAGCAGGGTGTGCCTCATTGCAGTTCGCACTTTTGGGCTGAAAATTATCCTTCTTGTTGCACTCCGCTGTCAAATGATTACCAGCACATTTTACATATCTAGCCTCTCTTTGGCAAAACTTTTGTGTGTGTCCAAATCTCTGGCATCTCTTGCATTGCGGAATGGATTTGCTCCTTCTAAGAGCTTCAATTTTTACTCTCATGTGCTGTAAGTATTCTATTTTACAGATCTTACTTATCTCTTCCGAATGGTCAAAAATAACATAAAGAGAAGTTTTACTGAAATATATTTTCCATTTTCCTTCTTCCTTTTAATTTTATTTACAACATCTAGACATTTAAAGCCTTTGCTAATAAACTCTTTTTAGCACTTTTCCAAAAATTTTTTGAAAAAAAGTGCTTATTAGTTTCACTCTGTCCGTCCGTCCGTCCGTCCGTCCGTGGACACTTTTTTTGTTTACAACCCTTCTACACCCTTAAAGATAGAAAGCTGTAAAATTACGGAAAGTTATTTCCGTAGTACAAAATTTTTACCTATCTCCCCCTCTCTAGAAGTTATACCACCCCAAAAACTATAAAAATATCCTTTTTTAACTATTTGTTGCAATGAAATCCTAAGCATTTTTGAAATTTTGCAAAAGCAGAAAAGCAGCGACTCTCTTCCCCTAGCGCGGCACACTATAGCTAAACTTTAGAAAAACAAAATGGCCGCTCAAATTTACCGTTATCTAAAGTCCTTTTTTTTCCAAATTTTTGATTTCGTTTTTCTTCTAAACATCAGCTTTTAGAACCTTGAAAATTTAGGAGCTTTTAGACATTAACAAATTGTTAATTTTGTTAGAAGAAAATTTTTTTCCATCTCCACCTGCTCTCAAGTTATCGCCTCTTGAAATTTGTAAAATTTGAATTTTTGATACCTTATATTTCCGAAACTACAAGCTTTTTCAAATTTCTATAAACGAAAAAAGCTGACGGTAAATTCGATGATATTAAAAAATAGAATTATTTTTCTTAACTTACACAATTAAACCTTAAAATCGAGCATTATGTTAACCCCACTTTATATTAATTTTTGGTTTATTTCAAAGACTGCATAAATCCTTCATCCTAAATACATGCAATCCTAGAAATAGTTTTGTACATGAATGAAAATAATTTTAATAGTGACCTGAGTAGTAATGGGGTCACCTGAGCATGGGAAAATAATTATGCAAATGAGGCGCGTGCCACCTAGGTGCATGGCCTTTTTATTGCATATTTAATTATGACTGCATTTTTGCATGCTTGAATAGTTATTTATAACTGGATTCCTGCATATTAAACGAGATGAATGACTTAACAGCCGGTGGCGTCAGGTGCACATGCATGACCCCGGAAGTGCACATGGTATATAAATGACTAAATGCAATGATTCAGATGAATGAATGAATAATTGCACATATGAGGTCACGACATAGGAAGGTCATCCAGATGCAAGAGCGCACACCTAAGCCGGTTTGTTTTTGTTTGTTATTGCACGAAAGCTTTTTTTTTACCTGTTATTATTATAATAGAATAGTGGTTATTTTCAAGTGTAAGAAGAAAATATGTACATACATGTGTACATGTTTTAAAGCTTTTTTTTATTGAGAAAGAAAAATCAAGTTCAAGAATAAGAACTCAGGTGTGGTATGTTAAGATTAATTTTTATTTTTCTAATAAAAATGAAATACAAATAAAATGACACGATTTATGTAAATTTGTCTACTGGTGCAAATAATATTTCAGAAGAAAAATTAAATTGTACAATGTAAATTTCCAATTCAATCAAGGAAGTCGAGATTTGCAAAATGTATAAAATACTATTGCAAATAAATTATTAATAGAGTTCTTACTACTTTGTGTGATGCAAATTATATACATTAAATAAATAATAAAAATAAAACAAAATTTACAATATATCATTTTTATTTATTAAGTTATTTTTTTATTTCAAAATAGACATTTTATATCTGTGGAAATTATCCAAAACCCGATAAGTATTTTTTTTGCAATTTTACAGTATCGCAATTTTAAAGTTTTAAGAAAAAACCCTTTTTCGTTCATGTTTATTTTTCAAACAAAATAGTGAGCTAGTAAGCTGGGGTTTTTTATTAGAGTAATATAGTATTAGAGTAATATATTAAAATAGTGTTCAGGTTGCTTCAACCTTTTGGGAATATAAAATTGGGGGGTGGAAAACTCAATCGGGTTTTCGCAAATTATAAGTAACGTGGGCCATTTTAATAGTATACTCTGCCAAAAAACGATTTTCAAAGAAACAATAGTCTTTATAGCGTTATGTTTGTGTTTTTATACTTCATATTTTTAAAAATGACCACAAAAAGAAAAAAATTGTTTTTAAACAAGTTGTACAAATTCAGAACTATTTCTTTCTTGTATTTTTCGCCATTGTAAAAGATATTGTTCAAGAAAAATTTTTTATTAAAAAACATAAATTTATTCTTTCCATAATATTTTTTAAAACATAAAATAACAAACAAAAATTTATATGAAGTTCAAAAATTTTAATATAATGATTTATCATAAAATTTTTGCATTATCTTAACCAGATTAGGTAATAACCAGCTATCGTATTAGTATTATAGGAAATACGAAAATAGTCATTATAAAAGTTAATATGAAATTAATTATTTCTTTACCAAAATTATAGTAAGCTATCAATTATTAGTCTTTTTTTATAATATATTTTTATACTATGCATGGAAATAAACATCTTTTTCAGACAAGTAGCTGTAACTAGCATTAGTGGCTTTAAAATTTTTACAAAATTTATGGCAAGAAATTAAATATCAACTAAATGTAAAATTGACAATAAATCTGTCTTTTTTTTGAATTTATGAGATTATTATCCTTGAGAAATCTATTATTTTAAGGTTCGTTTCGTACTTCAAGTGGTATTTAAAATAAACATAACCCAAGTTTTTGGTGATTCTTATCCACCTAATTTTAAACCAATTAACAGGATTATCGTCGGTATCCTTTTTCCTTTTTATAAGAATTGTTTTACAAAAATGTGAAAATATCTTGAAATCGTTTTGTGTCATTTGAGACACATTCAATGGAATTTTAGCTGTGACGGTACGAACAAAATTGCACCAATCATATAACATTATATACTCACGTCACAGGTTTTTGGTCCTTTCAATACGAGCGAGATCAGAGTCGCATTCTAAATGTGTATGGCCAGGTACAAGGAATTTTTGTTCGATGTATTCAACATTCGTTTTTTGTATTACCGTCATTAACACGGCCGTCATGTTTAAATTTCTATTCTGGCCACCACATGTATCAGAGTACATTATACTTGATTGTTTCGGGTAATGAGATAACTTTTTTAAACAAGCACGAAGCATGTTTATAGGATCCCCGTCCAGCCACAGTTTCGTTCCACATATAACATTCTGTTTGCTGGTTACAACAATCTCTTACCGTTACGGTACGGGACATATCGGGTTTTGGCATACTTGTATAAGACTGTTAAATGATTTTACGGTTTATTCGAAAGAACGATATGATAAATATCGGGTTTTGGCAACGGTATGATGTTGATAAATGATTTTCTTAAACTTTACCGGGTTATGGTTTTATGCACCAACGAACGCTTTACCTCTTGCATTGAATTATGAGACTTCGTCACAGCAAAGATCTCATATATACCATTCCATTTTCATTAATATCTCGATTTTGCCAAAAATCGACTTATCGGGTTTTGGAAAATTTCCACGGATATTTTTTGTATACTTTTTTTATATCAAAACGGAAGAGAACTATAATTTTCAAAAAATTTCCGTTTTTCTGACACTTGCCTGTATGTTTTTATTTGTGGAGCTGTTATAACGTTGTGTTGATTATTTCTTACGAAATTTGAAGTTATAATTTTGACACCTTCCTTATCATTATTTAAAACAAGATCTTTAATTTTTTCAAAGTTAATAATTTCAGAATTTTCGTAAGTCATTTTTATTCCTTTAACTTTACATGTTGCTACCTGACTTTGACTTTTTGTTGAATACACTGCGAACTCGTAATTTTTTGGTCCTCCAGAAGCAAATTCAGTTATAAAACTACCATCGCCATATGACGTGAGCTCATCTGTCGTGTCCCCGATGAAGTTACCTAACGGTGGTTCGTATTCACCTTCTTTTGAAATAAATATAATAGAATCAGTATCGTAATACAACACTCGGTTTTCCAGCTTTTCTAAATAACTATAGAGCTTCAATCGTGCTTGTGCAGTGGTGTAGCTTGCTACGCATACATTTACAGTTTTCAATGGTTTTATTCATCATGCTTAAACTTCCAATTAACAACCAAAGTCTCATCGTTTATAATCAATATATGATGAACTTCCTTGTTTGGATCAGTCATTAGTGTATAAAAATTAGCTGGAGTCTTAATTATTTCTGTCTGTGTTTGGTTTTCTTTTTGTCCAAATTTACCCCAAAATGAATTTAATATAAGTTTTGCAACTGATCTTTTTCCAGGATTTGCACATATTTTATTTTCGTCTAATTTTATGTTTTCCCTTTCGAAGAAGTCTTCTATGTATTGCTGTTTCAATTCTTTATTAACACACGTTTTAGGCCAGTCTGATGATTCTTGTTTTATTTTTAAAAATTTATCCATTATATCAGTAAATAACCCAGGTTTAGATGAAGTTTTATCATATTGCTGGACTGAATATTTCCAAATCTCGTGAATTTCTATTATTTTGTATCCCTTTGTTAAAGCTTTCACCACTTCATCTATAACCCAAGTACCATTCAATGTCCTTTTGTTGTCAGCATGTGTACAATCGTCCATATTTTTTTCTTCACTACATGTAAAGCAAAGAGTAAAGATTAGTTTATTGTTTTGTTTTATTGGAAGTACTGGGATAAATAAGTCTGTTGGAGGAAGAATGGAGCACTTTATTAATCCGTCTGTAGTTTTCAAATTTTGTTTCATGCATTCATCGTTTCCAACAATAATCTCTGGGTGTCCGATGGGAAATTTACCATATTTACAAACATAAGGATAAAGAGAACAAACGTCAATATATTTAATTTTTTCATTCTCCATAGCTTTGTAGTAAGTAACTATATTTTCAGTTCGTCCACCAAAGAAAGAGTCCCGAGGATCAAGTGGAAGATTTATTAAAATAGGATGATCGTTTAAATAAAACATATCTGGGTTATCAATCAATTGTTCTCTAAATTCGCACTCCCATTTTTCAATGACTTCATAAACAAATAAACGCAGTCGGGCTGACTTTGAAATTGTAGCTTCATATCTTGAATTTAGCATGTCTGTTGCGTTTTTTTCTAATGGTTCGTCATGCCTGTAAGAAAAACACTTTGGATGTCCATGATAGTAGCATCCATGAAATTCAAAAACTTGATTGGTCTCTTCACAAAATCCATCTACTTTTAAATTATTTATGATAGCTTCTTTTTGTTTACCGGCATGTTGGATATTAATTTTTCGCTGGTCTTCTTCCCAAATTAACCATTGTAAAGCTATTTTTGATTGGATATCTGTAAATCTATATCCATTTTTTGGTATTAGTCCTATTGTTTCAGCTTTAAGAAAGTTCCGTCGAAAAATCAAATTGCAAGTTGATGCAATGGTTGCAGCCTCAGTAAACGGACATACATTGTTATCTTTTAGTATAATATTTCTAAACTTTAAACAAGCTTTCGTTAAAATAATTACGTCGTTTTTACAGTATTCTACAATCTCCTTTCGCATGTTAAATTCGGTATTTTTATTTTCATCGTACCATTTAAAGAAAATTAATCGTTCTGGTTTTGACATTAAGTTTGGATTGTAGTATTCATGTGGTGGTAATGGTCCAACGTATTCTTTGTTTTTTTCTGTATTGAATAAGTGAGGAAAATATCCTTTCTTTAAATTAACAAAATTATCTATGTTAGGTTTTTGTTTGTTAACTGTAATGTAGCAAACATGATTTTGTTCTACTTGTTTTAGGCAATTCTTGCATACTTTTGTGTTGCATTTATGTGTTCCATATTTAGTAGAATAATTCTTAAAGCATGTTAAGCATTTACGCAAATTTATACAAATATTTTTAGTTACATGATTTTCAAAACATCTTAAACCTTTAAATGTCCGTTTACATGTTAAACAGGATATATTTTCAATAACGTTTTTGCAAGCAGGTGATTGCTGACAACATTTACAGCGTCCTCCACACATATGTCTATCTATAGTGTTATATCCGATATTACATTTTTCACAATAATAAGTTCTACAAAAAGCTGAGGTAAGAGAGGTAATGACGTTGTAATGCCTATTATAATAAAGAAGATTTATTCGTTTGCCCTCAGTTTTTCCTTCAAATATTATATTTTTGTTGTTGCTATAGTCATAAACCACTATGTTGTATTTATCACCAAAGTAATCTTGAATTTTCTTCAATTCAGGTATACCAGAGCCACTTTCTTTGATATTTAAATTAGTATCTTTGACAAGTGTTAAAGCCAATTGTTTTTGAATTTTTTTGACGTCCATGCAAATTTTTTTATAATTGGGCTCTTTGTCAACAAAAGCTTTTCCTACCATAATAGCACGTGGTAGGCAAAGACTGTCTTTATTTTTTATGGTAACAATGCCTTTTCGTTTTAGACATTCTTCTTCAAAAGTAAGATATTTTTTTACCCTTCCTTTTCCTGAAGGTAAGCGAACAGTTGTAATTGTTATTTCGAAAGAATCAGGGTTAATTCCTTCTGTATTGCTTTGAAATAATTTGAATATCACTTCCCAGATATCGTCAAACTTTACTTCACTTGCCTCTTTAAAGTTCATCCATCCTGGTGTACGCCCTTGAAAGTTGTTGCCGTAAAACGTTATCCCGAGCGGCGTACGCGCGTAAGCGATGCGAGCCGGGCCTTAAGTGGCCAGAGGGTGAAAACTTGAGCGGCTAGAAGGCTAAAACTTAAGCGGCCAGGTTCCTTCCGGCTCGCATCGCTTACGCGCGTACGCCGCTCCGCCCTAGGCGGCGCCTTTTTTGTAGTCATATGAAAGAAGAAGAATGCTGTAATTTAACAATGGCAAAGAAAAAAACATTTTTATTTTTTTTGTTTTTATTTAAACTTTTCGTATTTTTGCTGATTTTTGTTCAGTACAGTGCAGTACAGGAATAAGCTCGAATAAAAGCATATTCCATCGGTCGGCGTCTCGACCAATATACTTGATGTTCATAGGGTTGGTATTCAAGTAATCTAATTCTTCTTGATTTCTTACTTTTTTTGAAAACCTGTCCGGCATGAAAATGGTGCACCGAGAATTATCGTCCGGACTCTCCACTTCACAGAGAACCATATATAAATTGATAATGTTTTATAAGACAAGGATCCGCATTCCAAAAAAGTGTTATACTAAGAATTTTTAATTGTGTTTTAATTTTTTATGTAAATTTTATAAAAATGGAAACACCTGACCTTGCAATTATAGCTGCAGTTATCTAGATTAATAAAAATATAAACAAGATCCGCATTCCACAAAGTATTTTTTAACATATAAAATTGATAATGTTTTAAAATATTATTAGAATAATTATAACTTTAAAGTAACTAACAACATGGCAAAAAAAATGATGTTAAATAAATTTTTAAAAGAAAACACCCCAAAATTTGATATAATTGCTGAAAAAACTCAATATATCAAAAAATTTGGTGTAACGGCAAACAAAGTTATTTTTAAATTAAAAGCTTCACCAGAAGAAGAAGATTGTTTGTTAAAAATCAAAGAAGGAGTCAATGAAGTAATTGAATATGCAGTAAAAAACGTTCTTCCAACGGACCTAATTGGGATAACGTTTTACGGCAACAACTTTCAAGGGCGTACACCAGGATGGATGAACTTTAAAGAGGCAAGTGAAGTAAAGTTTGACGATATCTGGGAACTGATATTCAAAATATTTCAAAGCAATACAGAAGTAATTAACCCTGATTCTTTCGAAATAACAATTACAACTGTTCGCTTACCTTCAGGAAAAGGAAGGGTAAAAAAATATCTTACTTTTGAAGAAGAATGTCTAAAACGAAAAGGCATTGTTACCATAAAAAATAAAGACAGTCTTTGCCTACCACGTGCTATTATGGTAGGAAAAGCTTTTGTTGACAAAGAGCCCAATTATAAAAAAATTTGCATGGACGTCAAAAAAATTCAAAAACAATTGGCTTTAACACTTGTCAAAGATACTAATTTAAATATCAAAGAAAGTGGCTCTGGAATACCTGAATTGAAGAAAATTCAAGATTACTTTGGTGATAAATACAACATAGTGGTTTGTGACTATAGCAACAACAAAAATATAATATTTGAAGGAAAAACTGAGGGCAAACGAATAAATCTTCTTTATTATAATAGGCATTACAACGTCATTACCTCTCTTACCTCAGCTTTTTGTAGAACTTATTATTGTGAAAAATGTAATATCGGATATAACACTATAGATAGACATATGTGTGGAGGACGCTGTAAATGTTGTCAGCAATCACCTGCTTGCAAAAACGTTATTGAAAATATATCCTGTTTAACATGTAAACGGACATTTAAAGGTTTAAGATGTTTTGAAAATCATGTAACTAAAAATATTTGTATAAATTTGCGTTAATGCTTAACATGCTTTAAGAATTATTCTACTAAATATGGAACACATAAATGCAACACAAAAGTATGCAAGAATTGCCTAAAACAAGTAGAACAAAATCATGTTTGCTACATTACAACTAACAAACAAAAACCTAACATAGATAATTTTGTTAATTTAAAGAAAGGATATTTTCCTCACTTATTCAATACAGAAAAAAACAAAGAATACGTTGGACCATTACCACCACATGAATACTACAATCCAAACTTAATGTCAAAACCAGAACGATTAATTTTCTTTAAATGGTACGATGAAAATAAAAATACCGAATTTAACATGCGAAAGGAGATTGTAGAATACTGTAAAAACGACGTAATTATTTTAACGAAAGCTTGTTTAAAGTTTAGAAATATTATACTAAAAGATAACAATGTATGTCCGTTTACTGAGGCTACAACCATTGCATCAACTTGCAATTTGATTTTTCGACGGAACTTTCTTAAAGCTGAAACAATAGGACTAATACCAAAAAATGGATATAGATTTACAGATATCCAATCAAAAATAGCTTTACAATGGTTAATTTGGGAAGAAGACCAGCGAAAAATTAATATCCAACATGCCGGTAAACAAAAAGAAGCTATCATAAATAATTTAAAAGTAGATGGATTTTGTGAAGAGACCAATCAAGTTTTTGAATTTCATGGATGCTACTATCATGGACATCCAAAGTGTTTTTCTTACAGGCATGACGAACCATTAGAAAAAAACGCAACAGACACGCTAAATTCAAGATATGAAGCTACAATTTCAAAGTCAGCCCGACTGCGTTTATTTGTTTATGAAGTCATTGAAAAATGGGAGTGCGAATTAAGAGAACAATTGATTGATAACCCAGATATGTTTTATTTAAACGATCATCCTATTTTAATAAATCTTCCACTTGATCCTCGGGACTCTTTCTTTGGTGGACGAACTGAAAATATAGTTACTTACTACAAAGCTATGGAAAATGAAAAAATTAAATATATTGACGTTTGTTCTCTTTATCCTTATGTTTGTAAATATGGTAAATTTCCCATCGGACACGCAGAGATTATTGTTGGAAACGATGAATGCATGAAACAAAATTTGAAAACTACAGACGGATTAATAAAGTGCTCCATTCTTCCTCCAACAGACTTATTTATCCCAGTACTTCCAATAAAACAAAACAATAAACTAATCTTTACTCTTTGCTTTACATGTAGTGAAGAAAAAAATATGGACGATTGTACACATGCTGGCAACAAAAGGACATTGAATGGTACTTGGGTTATAGATGAAGTGGTGAAAGCTTTAACAAAGGGATACAAAATAATAGAAATTCACGAGATTTGGAAATATTCAGTCCAGCAATATGATAAAACTTCATCTAAACCTGGGTTATTTACTGATATAATGGATAAATTTTTTAAAATAAAACAAGAATCATCAGACTGGCCTAAAACGTGTTTTAATAAAGAATTGAAACAGCAATACATAGAAGACTTCTTCGAAAGGGAAAACATAAAATTAGACGAAAATAAAATATGTGCAAATCCTGGAAAAAGATCAGTTGCAAAACTTATATTAAATTCATTTTGGGGTAAATTTGGACAAAAAGAAAACCAAACACAGACAGAAATAATTAAGACTCCAGCTAATTTTTATACACTAATGACTGATCCAAACAAGGAAGTTCATCATATATTGATTATAAACGATGAGACTTTGGTTGTTAATTGGAAGTTTAAGCATGATGAATAAAACCATTGAAAACTGTAAATGTATGCGTAGCAAGCTACACCACTGCACAAGCACGATTGAAGCTCTATAGTTATTTAGAAAAGCTGGAAAACCGAGTGTTGTATTACGATACTGATTCTATTATATTTATTTCAAAAGAAGGTGAATACGAACCACCGTTAGGTAACTTCATCGGGGACACGACAGATGAGCTCACGTCATATGGCGATGGTAGTTTTATAACTGAATTTGCTTCTGGAGGACCAAAAAATTACGAGTTCGCAGTGTATTCAACAAAAAGTCAAAGTCAGGTAGCAACATGTAAAGTTAAAGGAATAAAAATGACTTACGAAAATTCTGAAATTATGAACTTTGAAAAAATTAAAGATCTTGTTTTAAATAATGATAAGGAAGGTGTCAAAATTATAACTTCAAATTTCGTAAGAAATAATCAACACAACGTTATAACAGCTCCACAAATAAAAACATACAGGCAAGTGTCAGAAAAACGGAAATTTTTTGAAAATTATAGTTCTCTTCCGTTTTGATATAAAAAAAGTATACAAAAAATATCCGTGGAAATTTTCCAAAACCCGATAAGTCGATTTTTGGCAAAATCGAGATATTAATGAAAATGGAATGGTATATATGAGATCTTTGCTGTGACGAAGTCTCATAATTCAATGCAAGAGGTAAAGCGTTCGTTGATGCATAAAACCATAACCCGGTAAAGTTTAAGAAAATCATTTATCAACATCATACCGTTGCCAAAACCCGATATTTATCATATCGTTCTTTCGAATAAACGGTAAAATCATTTAACAGTCTTATACAAGTATGCCAAAACCCGATATGTCCCGTACCGTAACGGTAAGAGATTATTGTAACCAGCAAACAGAATGTTATATGTGGAACGAAACTGTGGCTGGACGGGGATCCAATAAACATGCTTCGTGCTTGTTTAAAAAAGTTATCTCATTACCCGAAACAATCAAGTATAATGTACTCTGATACATGTGGTGGCCAGAATAGAAATTTAAACATGACGGCCGTGTTAATGACGGTAATACAAAAAACGAATGTTGAATACATCGAACAAAAATTCCTTGTACCTGGCCATACACATTTAGAATGCGACTCTGATCTCGCTCGTATTGAAAGGACCAAAAACCTGTGACGTGAGTATATAATGTTATATGATTGGTGCAATTTTGTTCGTACCGTCACAGCTAAAATTCCATTGAATGTGTCTCAAATGACACAAAACGATTTCAAGATATTTTCACATTTTTGTAAAACAATTCTTATAAAAAGGAAAAAGGATACCGACGATAATCCTGTTAATTGGTTTAAAATTAGGTGGATAAGAATCACCAAAAACTTGAGTTATGTTTATTTTAAATACCACTTGAAGGACGAAACGAACCTTAAAATAATAGAT